TGCTCCCCTCAGCAGTGTACTTCGTCGATCTGCCTGTTCTGCTCCCCACTCTATCCCTGGTGAATCCTCTCACCCTCCACATTTCTGGCCTGTACCCCAGTTCTGTATGCACGAATAAATAAATCTTTAAAAAAAAAAAATGCAGGGATCAATGAACAGCATTGAAAGCCCAGAGATATATTCTCATACATATCAATTTAATTTATGATAAAGCAATTTAGACCATACAACATGGAAGGGTAAGTCTCTTTAATGATAATGGTGGGAAAATTGGACAGTCACATGTGAAAGAATGAGGTTGAATCATTCTCTGACCTCCCCACACGAAAATAAATGCAAAATGGGTTAAAGGCTTGGATACAAAACATATAGAAGAAAACACTGGCATCAATTATAAAGATGTTTTTGGAGACTTGACCCCCTACAACAGAGGAAATAAAAGAAAAATAAGCAATTGATATTACCTCATCTAAAACAGCATTTATACAATGAAAGAAAATATAAGCACATTAAAATATTACTGAATGAGGGGAAATATTTATAGATTTTATAACATATCCAAGACAAGTTAAAGCTTATGTAATTCAACAATAAGAAAAATAAACAATCCAATTAATAAATAGGCAGTTGACCTGAACAAACGATTCACCAAAGAGGATATCCAGTAGATATAAAAGACCAGTTTTGCTTTTAATATGGGAAACTCAAGTTAAAACCATAATGAAATATCATCACACCAATGAGAATGGCATATATTTTTTTAAAAAATGCTAGAGAGGATATGGAGAAAGAAAATATGATACTACTGATGGGAGTATAAACTGGTGAAGCATTTTGGAAGGCAATCTCTGGATTTATCTTTAAAAACCAAAATTAGAAATACCGTATGATTCAGTAATCCCACTCCTGGGCATCTATCCAAACAACGCGAAATCATCAACTCAAAAAACTATGCGCCACAATGTTTATTGCAACACTATTTATAATCATTGGGCAACTTAAATGCCCAGCGATAGACGTTGAATGAAGAAAATGAAGTATCTATCCAAACTATGGATTACTATTCAGCCATTTACTGCAAATGGAAAAGAATCCAAGCGAATTAAGCATAGAAAAGCAAGTCACATGTAAAAGAATGAAGTTGAATAATTCTCTAATTCCACACGCAAAGACAAATAGTGGAAATGTACATAGCTAAAAATTCAACAACATAAAATACTTCTAAAAACTAGCAATTGTTAGTTTTTATGAAAGGAAATGAGGTTTCTAAGGTTGAGAAAAAGTATAATATTCAATGAAAGGGGAGGTTCCAGGTTCCCTGCCCCACCCAAGAAAGGGTGGAGCTTAGCAGGGAGGAGAAGCAAGAAGAGGCTGGGAGAAGGCTGGGGAAGACAGGGAGCGGGGAAGAGAGGCAGACGAGGAGGAGGCGTGTGGAACAGTGGGAATGTGAGGAAGCTGCGTTTGCTTCTCAGCTTTGGACCAAGCACTTGGGGGTTATGGAAGGAGACACTTAGAAGAGACGTAGGTGAGAGACCATTGGGGAGGCTGACAATGGCAGGCTTTACCTTGGCTTATGTTTTGATTTTGTGCTTCCAGACTTGCCTGGTGCCTTCAGCCTCTTGCCCATGGGGCCCCCCCCAGAAGGTGCCGTAGCCTGCGGTAGACTTTCCAGCCTCCCTTGCCCCCCTTCAGGCCAACGCTGTTTGGGCATTTACCCACCAGGGTTTGGGGAACTTTGGGTATTTCATGGGGAAACTTTTAACTATTTTCTTTCTCTTCTCTGTGTTGCACACTATTTGTATTCTTTACCAGAAACAGTGTTACGTACTAAGAGTATGTTTTGTCTTTATGTGTCAGATGGTAGAACCCACTTAGATCAAGCAGGTTGTGGGATCCCAGGGTGCCCTTCATTCTGCCTGCTAACAGAAGGAGAGAGGGTCTAGAGGACATGGGATGGTGATGAGAAAATAAGAGACATAAAAGAACATGCAAACTCCAGAATATTCATCAGACATTATAATGAGACAATTCTGTGTGTCTCACACAAAAAGATAACCAGGGAATATTAAGAAAAGAAAAAAATGCCCTAATCTGTAGTATCCAGTGCATTGATTTCTGCCTTTTGTGCACACACACAGGAAGGCACCACCAGATCAAGCTCGGGAATATTTCTAGTAACCCCAGAAACCTCCCTGGGGACCCTGCCAGCTAGCTCCCCACCCATAACCAGGATTCTGATTTCTGTCATTATAGATGAGTTGTATAAGTCTTGAATTTCATGGAAATGCCTTCAAGCAGTAAGGACCTTTGGGGGGGGGCGGGGTTGTTTGTTTTGTTTTAAATATATTTATTACATCATCGTGCATTTTTGTATAATGTATGATTTCCCTGTGAAATTCCCACCACCAGTTCACCCATATACTATAGTCCCTTGTACCTTGTACCTGTCTTCTTCCACTCACCTTGTGTCTGTGGGATTCAGACAAATTGTTGCTATACAGTTTGTTTTTTTGCTGAAGTTAATTTAAAAAAAAAATAAGAATATAGTTGCTAGTAGATTAAAGAAAACTATCTGGATGAGAGGTTAATCAGGCAAATCTCCTACTTCTTTTGTTGTAGTAGTTTTAAGTCTTGCTTCCCAAACTCAGGTATGTAAGAAACATATTATTTCAAGTCAAATTAAATCTGGCCCCAAGCACACCTAGTCATTTTGGAGACAGTCCTCAGTCTGTCTGCTTTTGCTCGCCCCTGACACTGGCATTGTTCCAACTAGCATTGTCTGTTGAAACACATGTGTCTGCGTCCTCTGTACTCAAGCTGGTCAGGGCACATTATGAGGCCATGGGGGGAATAGGTGCCAGGTCCTCCCATCAGATATGCTCCCCTCACTTCTCTAAAGATATTTAAAAGGAACACAAAATTTCACCAGCAGGTAGAGAGATTGGTCATGTCATATTCATACAATCCAGTATAACTCACCAGTAACACAGAACACACAAGAACACATCTCAGAAGTATTATGTTAAGTCAAAGTAGCCAAACACAAAAGTGTATATACCATGCAGTTCCGTCTGCATGGCATCATCAAAGAGGAAACACTCCTGCAGAGTAACAGAAAGCACAACAGTGGCTCCCTCTGGCAAGTGGGGGTAAGGAGGATATTGACTGCAAAGGGGCGTGAGGGATCTTTCTAGAATAATGCAAACTTTCTTGCATTGTTGGTAGTCCACAAATATAGGAAAAACTCATCACTCGATACATTTAAGATGTAGATGTAAATTATGCCACAGTAAAGTTGACTCCTTTTAAACCTGCACTCCTGTGTTCATTATAGCACTATTTATAATAGCTAAAATATGGAATTAATCTAAATGCCTCAAAATAGATGACTAGATCAAGAAGATGTGGTATATACACACACAATGGAATACTACTCAGCAATCAAAAAAGATAAACTCATGCCATTTGCAGCAATGTGGGTGGAGCTGGGAGGGATTATGCTCAGTGAAATAAGTCGGAGGAGAAAGAAAAATATATTGGTTAGTTTCACTTACAAGAGGAATATAGGGAAACCATTCAAAGGGTCAGTAAAAAAAGGCAAAACTAGCAGCTGAATTACAAATCGGAGACATTCAGCCGGGTAGAAGAAAGAAGAGGAATCAAAATGAGAGGAAAGAGCACAAGAGTCAATGGTGATGTTCACAGGTGTCTTGAACACCTGAGAAGAGAAATCAAACATTGTACAAAAATGAACAACAATGTAAAAATATATAAATAACAATGAAAAAAAATGAGTTGATTCCTTTTAACCATCAGGTAAAACAAAAACTAAGCCAGACAGAGAATGAAAACAGAGATGCACCTTCCTTCTTGGGGGAAGGGAGGGAGCAGAAGAAATGTTAATAAGTTGCCATGTTATCTGTTTCTGCAGCCTTGTGGGGTTTTGTGGTAAATCTATGGCATGTAAGTAGAAAAAACTTAGCCTTAAAGCCTTCTTACTGCACTGGGATGCCCAGCCAACCTAGGGAACAGGATGCCAATGGGTCTCCAGGCACTCACCCTCTTCTCTTCTTACCCCCAGACATTGTTGGCATTGCTGGTCCTGGTGCTGTACTTGGGCACAGGGATATCAGGTGAGCATCCCTAACCTGAGAAAGGAGGAACTAAAGCCCCACTGAGTCAGGAGAAGTATGCTGGGCCTGGGGGCCAACCCCAGGGGCCTCCAGCACTGGTCTTCTACTGCCCACTTCATCCCACTGGGATGACTCAGCATACTTATTTCCACTACTGTTCTTTTTCCCAAATTTATTTATGTGATTTATTTTTCTTTGTTTTATATGCTTGTTTATTTTTCCACAATATAGGATTTGCCCCCGGGTGTGGTCACCACCACCAAAGCACCCACAGTCCTCTATCAGCCTCCACTATGCTCTCCTTCCCCACTGTTTTCTAAAAGATGGTGTTGGCGCCTGTTTCAGGAAGAAGTTGGGAGGTGTCGGAAAGGATCCGAGAATGTAACTATCCCCAGAATCCTGTGGCTTCCCAGGTAATGATTCAGAGAGATACTGAGGGGATGTTAAACTTGGCTCAGACAAGCTCCCAGGGGTATCACTGACAGGTGGGGTGTGGCAAGCTACGTAGGAGCTGGCCTGGTAGAGAAGATGGGGATGAGAACCTCACACAGAAGAAATAACAGTCTCGGTGGATATGCACACTAATACAACCACTATGGAAAATTGTTTGGAGATTCCGCAAACTGCTAAAATTGGAGCTTCCATATGACCCAGCAATCCCCCTCCTAGGTATCTACCCAAAAGATACAAAAACACTGATTCAAAAAGATACCTGCACCCCCATGTTTATTGCTGCTTTATTTACAATAGGAAACACTTGGAATCAGCCCAAATGCCCAAAAGTAGATGACTGAATTAAAAAGATGTGGTACATATACACAATGGAATATTACTCAGCAATCAAAAAAGATTTTAACTCATGTCTTTTGCAGCAACATGGATGGAGCTAGAAGGGATCATGCTTAGTGAAATAAGCCAAAAAGAAAAATATGGTTTCACTCCTAGCAGGAACATAAAGGACCAATGTGGGGGGAAATAATAATAATAATGAACAAGTATATAACAGAGGCTTTTTATGGGGGTGGAGTGGGGAATGGGACTGGAGTGTGGTGATGGCACACGGGTGAATTGGTGATGGAAAACCCATGGGGATTACAACTGAGGTGGAAAAAGGCACAAAATGATGCAAAAACAAACTATTATATTAAAATAAAAAAGAAAGAAACAGCAGAGGCTCAAGGGAAAAACTAAAGCTACGTCTTTGGTATCTGCCTTTCAGGGGTTTGACTACCACACCAGTGAGTCCTCCGAATACCCAGTGAAGGTCATCAGGACCTGGCTGAAGGAGAACTTGCACGTGTTCTTGGAGAAGCTAGAGAAAGAGGTGCGAGAGCTGGAGCAGCTGGTACGGGACCTGGAGGAGTGGCTAGATGCCCTTCTCAGAGAGGGGCCCTTGGAGGAACCCTGCTCCTCCCTCAAAAGCCACTTGTGAGGGGCCAGGGCTGGAACCTGGGGAGGAGGCCAGGTGGAAGGATGGGTAGGAAGAGACACCGGGGGCTCCTCTAAGGCTGGATGAACTGAGATGCTTAAAGTTCAAGGCAGATGAGAAAATAAAATAGTTGGGCAACTATGAACCAGTCAGCCCTGCTGCTCACTCATGAACCTTAAAAGCTGGCACCAGGCTCTCTTAGAGGGCCCCACATACCAGGGCTCTGAGTCTCAGGAGCCAGCATAGGCTTCTGAGCCAGCCACAGGGTCAGGACCCTGCACACCCACCTACCTGGCATTGCACAAATGTCATTAACCTCTGTGAGACAAAATCGTCTCATTAATAACAATCCGGGAAACAACTTTGCCTCCCAGGGTTGTCCGGAGTACAGAGGGTGTGGCTAGCATTGCAGGTGCCTGTGGGCAGGAGGCTGCTGGTTCCTGAGCAGCTCTACCATATGTCATGTATCTTTAGATATACAGCAATTTAACCCACTGAAGCAGAAATTGCCCAAACCCCTGTGAAGCTATTTGGCAATAGCTATTAAATTCACAAATATATTTACCCCTTGACCCAGCCATCTGCTTCAGGGATTTACTATATATATATAATGGTTTTATTTATATAAGTTAAATATAATATGTATTACATATATTTGCACATGTGTGAAGTGACATACTTATGAGGTTATATTGCCCAGTTTCATTTATAATAGCAACAAAGAGAAACAAACAATGAGAAGGAAACCAAGTAGCTATGAAATAGAGTAAGGACAATGAGTGTCCTTCAACCCATAAGGAAAGGTGTGCAAGACGTGTTGCTAGGTGAAAGAAAATTCAGTGTAAAGGGGGGATAGGGACAAGAATATTTCGTTGTTGATGATGATGTTATGGAATCTGCATTAAATTCTGGAAGGCTAGAAATGGAGGGAGGGCATTAAGGGGAACTGAAATTAGAAAAAGTACAAGGATGGAGTAGAAATTGTTCGCTGTACACTTTCATACTTCCTTGTCAAATTATGTGAATGTTTTGTCTAGCCAAAAATTTTTAATAAAGGTATCTATTATTATTTTTTACAAAGATATCTATTATTATGTTTGCAGACAAGGTAGATTTATAGTATATGCAAGCAAAAATAACACTCATTACGATGAATTGTGAGTGACTTAATTTTTTTTAAATAATGTCAAGAAAAAAACCTCTACTTTGATAAATTTATCTTGATTAAATACAGATTTTTGACCAGGATTGCCCCTTTTTTCCTTTACTACATAAAGCTTAGAGCATTATCGGAGTCATATCAGCCTTAGATTTTAGAGGAATTCTTTGACCCCATCCTCACACCTCACACACAGGGCTTAGAAGCTACACATACTGATGTGGGACCCTCTCTTTCCACTCAAGAAAAGACTAAGCCATGATTTGGATCCTCATGAATCCTGAGTAGCCTGAGTAGTCCACAAAGCCAAGACAGAAGAGACAGGCTTGGGTTTGTTAAGGGGAAAGTGGCCAGATGGAAAATGTCACAACTACCCAATTATCCACATTTCTTTGTTTCAGCTACCTGTAGCATGAGGTCAGCATCACAAACCATTGCAAACTTGTAATTAATTTTAATTGAGGGCTTTCTCTCCTATGTCTCTTATTTAATAGATATATTTGGCAACCTTCCTAAGGTTCCCTCAGGCTCTTCACTTTTGCTAATACTGATTCATTTTGCATTTTTCTTTTGTTAGCTTGGTTTGGGTCAGCCTCTGTTCTCTGCCTTCAATTTTTGTGATGGAGAAAAAACACAATCCTTCAGGTAGTTCATATCTTAAAGTGTGATAGACAAAACTCAACAAGGCAAAATCCACTTAGATGTACTTCTTTAGTAAATTATAATTATTGGGGAGAAAATAAAATTGTGATTTCTAACAATTAAGAGAATGATTCCTGTGTCTCTGTTTTTAAGGGCTTAGCCAGGCACTATTGTTAATGCCAGTTTATGGAGGGGGAAACTGAGGCATAGAGAAATGATATCATTGTTAAAAATCATGTCATCAATAAGTGGGTTTAAACCCAGGCTGTCTGGTATCCAAGTCTTCTCATTAACCCAATGGGTTTCACTAAGTCCAGCCAAAGTAATGTCTTCTCTCTTGAGAAGTTCTCATTTTATTGTTAAGTAATCATACGCTGATTAAATATATAAGGCAATAAATATTCATAGCATGCTACTACATGTCAGGTACATATATAGAGAAGTAAAGGTCATGTTCCCTGACCACATATAACTTGTCTTTCTACCATGCAGCCAAGAAAGAAAGACAGGAAATAAAATATCTATATTGTTTTAAAAGTCACTGGGTAAAGTGCCAAAAGCACTCAACTAATTACCAAATGAGCTATATATTTATTGGCCTAACTAAGAGTTCAGGGAAGGGATAGGGCTCTTGAGTTGGCACTAAGTAGTCCAGTTATAGAGAAATGCTAGAACATCATAAACTAGACTGTGGTCAAGGGGAAATCTTGGGGGACGCCAGAGAGAGATGAATGATGGGGCGGGGGGGAGGGCAAAGAAGGGTCCTTCCCGATAGAATCACATCCCAGCTATAAGTTTGTCACAGTCCAAAACTTAGGGTCGCAACACAAGTTTCATGTAAGATTTGGGGCCAGGCTCCCACAAGGTATTAGTAAGAATCAGGTCAGAAAGAAAAATACCCTTGGGAAGCAAGGATGTGGGCTCCATTGAAAATATTTCAAGACCAGGAAGGTCCATTTCCAGTCTGCATGTCTTATTTTTGATGATGTCAAATTAAAATGTGGATTTAATTTGCCCCCTTAATCCACAAATTTGTTCAACAAAATTGTGAAATGCATTAAATCAAATTTGGTTCAAATCTGGCTGTCAGAAGGATAATTGAGAGTGGTAAGAGATGGAGCCAAAGAAGATGCTTTTCTGGGGCATCCAAATCCCTTCTGTTGTGTCATTTCCAAGAGGACATGCATCCCTGCCTGAAGGCAGGGAAAGAGAAGATGAGCTTTATTCAGACACAGCAGCTGGCCTTAGTGGAGTAGCTGAGCTCTTGGGAGAAAGAAACTGTCACCTGCCTATTAAGTCAAATCTTTTCGTACTTCAGAATCCCCGTGTATGGGACAATATCACCTCCATGGATCAGTTTCTGGAATATTAAAAGAAACTGTGACTCGACAATGTTATTGTGTATAAAGCCAGTGCTAGAAACCTACTTAGAAAAGGTCACATGACCAGAAGAACAGATTGGGCCCCAGCCCAGTTAAATCCAGGGGACATTGGGATTGATCCACTTCTCCACCTCTCACTTAAGCCCACCTCTGGACTAGCCCCATTCTCAGGCAGACTGTCTCCACTTAGATGACAAGATGGGTTCGGGTGCTCAAGCGAGGCTTTAATACATCCTCTCAGCCTCCCCAGAAGAAGGAATTACCTCCCTCTTCCTGATAGCTATGGTCAAAGTCTTGTAAGAGAGCCTGAAGACCCTCCATTGAATCCTGACATGATCCTCACAATTAAAAGGTATAATTTGCCTATTTTTCTCCTGTGTACTTTATGGTTTCAGGTCTTCTGGTCAAGTCTTTCATCCATTTTGAGTTGTTTTTTGTGCATGGTGAAATGCAGTGGTCTAGTTTCATTCTTTTGCATGTGGTGGTCTAGCTTCCCAGAAACATTTATTGAACACACTATCCTTATCCCATATTCTTATTCCATATATTCTTTGCTCCTTTGTCATAGATTAATTGTCCCTGAAGCAAAGAAAGTGAAGGAAAAGATAAACAGCTGGGATTAGTCAAACTAAAAAGCTTCTGTACAGCTGAAGAGACATTAACCAAAACAAAGAGACACCCTACTGATTGGGAGAAAATATTTGTACTCCACACAACTGATAAGGGACTAATTTCAAAGATCTCCAAAGCCTACACAATTCAACAAAAGCAAAGCAAATAATCCAGTCAAAAGGTGGGCAGAAGTAGTAAAAAGACTACTTCTCCAAAAGAACTCCAAAGAGAAAATGTAAATGGCCAACAGGTATATGACAAAACATTAAATATTACTTATAATCAGTGAAAAGAAAATCAAACCCACAATGAGATACCACCTCACACCAGTGAGGATGGCACATATTAAAAACAACAAACAAAAAAACCACTGGCAACAACAAATGTTGATGAGGATGTGTGGTGAAAAAGGAACTCTCCTACACTGCTGGTGGGAATGCAAACTAGTTCAACCATTATCTGTATGGAGTTTCCTCAAATTACTAAAAATGGAGCTACCATTTTGGGTAGACTCCTAGGAATCTACCCAAAGGACACAAAAACATTTATTCATGTTTTTGTAGACATAGATTAAAAACACTAATCCATGCTTACTGCAGCACTATTTACAATAGCTAAGATAAGGAAACAACCTAAATGTCCCAAAACAGATGACTGGATCAAGAATGTGGTATATGTATACAATGGAATATTACTCAGCAATCAAAAAGAGAAACTCATGCCACTCAGAGAAACATAGATGGAGCTAGAAGGGATAATGTTCAATGAAATAAGTCAGAAGGAAAAGGAAACATATCAGCTATTTCATTCATAGGAGTGATACAGGGAACCAAATAAGGGATCATATAGGGGAGATAAAACTAGCAGGCAAACTATAAATCAGAGATATTCAGCAAGAGAAGGGGAGGGAAAGGAATTAAAACAGGTATGGGAAGAGCACAAAAAACTATGGTGATGGTCCATAGGTGACTTGGTGTTGGGAATTCTATGGGGACTACATCTGAGAGGAGAAATCAAACATCGTACAAAAATGAACAATTATGTAAATGTATATATATATAACATATAAATAAATAAATGCATAAGTAAATAAAGGTAATAAGAATCAAAAGGAAAAATAAATTTAAAAATAAGAGGGTGC